GCTTCTGTATTAATAAATACAATTTTATGTCTCATAAAATGATTTATATACAATCTTTTTTACATTGTTTTTGACAAATTTAGATTAAAATTCCAGTTGTTATTGATTTTTAATGTAAAAAGAGTGGGGTCGACTGGATCGGGATCGAACTCATGTTTGGATCGGGTTCGCCTTGATCGGGATCGAGTGCTCAATTAATTTGATTTTACGCAAACATGAGGTTGGAATCAATTTAGAGAGAAATTCAAATTTCTCTGATTTTAAGCTATATTTTCTACTCCTGTGACACCACCTCAGATGCGTTATCAGTTTAAACAGTTTGATGGATTGTGCAATTGTCTTAATCGATTTCGGCATGGAGGTAAAGACCTGATATCCCAAACCGCGCACTGTAGTGCAGATAGGTCAATCCTTCTTTGAAGAGTTGCTTTGTGTTTTTTAACTGAATGAACCAGATTTCGATAATTCACGGCTACTGAAACATACATTTAAATTGTTAATATGAGCCAGGGGCGGTCTCAAGACCCGCGAGCTAGCCAGCTCAAAAGAATTACTCGACTTTCAAGTTGGTCAGCAGACATCCATCCAAGTAGGCGACAGTGATTGACAATAATAAACTTTTACACCATCAATATCACCAGTTCACCAACAATAATTAAATTTGGCACCACTGCAGTTTCTGGAACCCAGACATGAAATACTTGGCAAGTGATGGGGTTCACCTGAAGACAGCAGCTGCGACCACCGGTTCATGAAGAAGTACCTTCAGAGCATAAAAAGTGCTGCCCTCCATGCCTCCCATCTGATTGGATGGGGGAATAATGATAAGTAGTACATTGCACATATGATGATAGATTGTTATGCATCAGTGTTTTCCGTTTATTTCAAAGTAAAGGGTTAGAGATCACAAAATCTCTGTGGATCTTACAACAAATTGTTATTCTAAAGCGACAATTTTGTCATTTAAAGCGGTCAATTTACCTGATTGCCGGCTCTTAGGGAAAACACTGAATGCATGTGATAAAGATTCTGGCTAATGCCGCAATATGTCATGTCACATGTTACACAAAAATATGACATTATATTAGTGCTTATTTAATTTCAACGTAAACCTCGACATGTCTCTGCACATTATGTTACATGAATTCATAATTTGCTGTCAATGTCAGCACTGGTCAAAATTTTGGGAATCGCCAATGGATTCCATCATATTATATGAAGGCTCCAATTTGTTTTTCTTAATCTTCCCAATATCCAATGAAGGTTGGGACGATTTGTTTATTTATTAAAAAATGGTTGCCTATCAATGTTTTTTGTATGTGAAGGCTCCAGCTGTTTTTGTCAGTGTCAGTACTGGTCAATTTGGGAATCGTAAATTGATTCCAATTGATGTTGGGAATCGTCAATTGATTCCAATATGATTATGGGAATCGTCAATTGACTCCATCATATTATGTGTAGGCTACCGTTTGTTTTTCTTAATCGCCCAATATCTGATGAAGGTTGGGACGATCTGTTTCTTTATTTCAAAAAAGGTATTTGTTTTTCTTAATCTTCCCAATATCTAATGTAGGTTGGGAGGATCTGTTTATTTATTTATAAGTGGTTTGCCTATCAATGTCTTTTTGCATGTGACTATGTGAAGGCTCCAGTTTGTTTTTCTTAATCTTCCATGTATCTAATGAAGGTTGGAAGATCTTTTTATTTAATTATAAAAAGAATGGGTTGCCTATCACTTTTATGTCACAATTGTTGAATTTTATGATGACTATGATGAACTGACCTATTTTAACCTGAGCCGACACTTGTATATGATAATAGATTGGCAACATGCATTGTGAAGAGTTCAATAACAAATGATAAAGATGAAAAATGTAAGCATGTTTGCTCCTATCTACCATGTGTTTATAGCTTGGTGGCAAAGGAAATTATTAATTCTATTATATTATCACCTATGGCAATTACAACTGCTTAGACTTATTGTAGAATAAAATGCCACCAAAAAAGAGGAAAATGTGATGGGTCCGAAGCCTCCCAAAAAGATAGAGTTACGCATTCAACCGGCTCAATTGCTCTCTATGGATTCAGTTTGGGCAATTCGGTGGATTCCAATTGATCATTGACTCAAGTGGCTGCTCCAAAAAATCAGCTGGCAGCAGCAAATCTTAGACAACAGCAACAGCCTTGACTCCCAGCAATGCTTCTACAAACAAGATTGCTTCAAAGGCTGCACCACTGCACCGCAGACTTCTATTACATCTTCTACTGATTTGAATAGTTCCTATTTGGTAAACACCTTTATAACAGTTGCATTGTTTTTCCTTATAACAGTTGCATTGTTTTTCAGGTGTTTCGGTGGCAGATACATTTAACAGTAACAACTAGATTCTGTCCCATTATCAGTAAACAAAAAAATAAATAAATAAAAAAATAAATAAAATCTTTAATGACCATTTCATTGACCTCAAAAGTTACTTCTAAATTTCAAAGAGAAAAATATTTCAATTCAGATAGAAAATAATGTTAATCATTAAATCCTCAGTCAATTAGTTTAATTGTAATGGGAACCATTGCAGATGTTCACTAAATGCTTCCCTAAGTTCCTTATGTCCTTCCTGGTGTCTTATTCCCGGCAAGCTTCATAAAATAAGGCAATCTAGCATATTAGTCATTTTAGGGTTTACACACACGCAAATACATGCACATACATAATGACCATGTCAAAATGTTTACACTTTTAATGCATCCATTTTAAAAGCAATTCATCATAAATAATTGAAAATTGGCTATATTAACATGATTAAATATATTTGTCATTTTACTCAATTCGTATTCTTGCAAGTGCATGTATGTGCAGATTTACCATGTCATTTGGTGAACACTATTAAAAGTGCTATTATATTTTGATTTTTAAATCATTTCATTCTCAAAAACATACATATACATATAAATATATATAGATAATTTGGCGATATAATGTATTATCAGTAAATGAAGACATTTTGTGAAAAATAAGTTGTGCAATGTGACGTTAATGAAAATGTATTACAGATAATCAAGAAATATCTGAGAGGCACTTATGGCTAAGCTAGACATAGGAGATGATTTTAGAAATATCCCAAAGCACCTTCAGATTATCATTGGAACAATCAATATTATTTGATAAATGTTAACCAATGGGTGCTAGTTCATCTTGTCAGTTTTGCTTAAGTTTTAAACGTAATGGTTTATGTTGGAATAAAAATCAGGCCAATATCTCAAAATGTCTCTCTGATGTTAGAAACTTCAAACGTTTACGTTTGAGAGTATGATTTTCCTCTAAAGAAACAAAAACTGTCCTCTCAATAACTTGTTTGACTATATATGGACTTGAGGTAGATTCTATTCCTATAGGAAGTAGATTATCTAAGACATGAGAACAAACTCATTAATATTAGACAAATGTTGAGAGGGATAGTCCAGGATAAATGTTCAAAATTTGCCTGTCAAGTGGTCACACCTGGTCGTGCATTGTTTGAGACTCTTTACAGATTTGACTCCTGAGTTCAATTGCAAACCAAACCATTACATAGAAAATCAACTGCTAAGGAACATGTTGAATTAAGGCAATGTAGCTTTTATAGATTTATAGATTTATAGACTTTTTATAGCCTTTTAGCTGATAATACAGCAGTTATACCTTAAAAACTCATAGTTTACTGTTTTTATCTTCCATCTACAGAAAGAATTATTTGCAATTTTTAATTTTATGAACCAAATACTCCTCTATGGTAGGAAAGTTGTCAAAAGAGCCCAGAGCTTCCAATCACAAAACCCATCTTAATGAATTAGCATCTGACTTATTTTACACTTTCAAGAAGCAGACACAAGAACCAACTATCAGCTAGGCAAACTCGTTCCTATAAACAACACATACAACTCAAAAAAGTAATTCAAAGACAAGCCATAATATTCTTTGATGATAATTCACTTTAGATAACAATGAGATATTCCAAACTATGAATGATAGGCATCCAGTGATACTTACTTTAACAGCCAATGACTTAAAATGACAATTTTGTCCAGTTCATGTCTTAAAAGTATACATTACTTAACATAAACACACATCTAGTCCTTTATCCACCTTCAAATCTGATGAACCAGTTAAGTACAGTTTTGTGGGATTCCAATCAAAACATGCAATATAAGTTTTCAACTGATTGCTTTACTTTGGTCATAGTTTTTGTGTTTGTACTGCAAGTTTTGTACTGCTAGTGGCAGCTTAGAATGGTTTATCTGAAAATGTAATACAACAACTCGGTCGTTGGCACTCAAAAGACATTACATTAAAATAAATGCATTTAGGTTTTAAATTCCACACTTGATGTTAAGAATTCTAAACTAAATGTTTCCCTTATACATGTACTGTCATTGACTATGGTAAGAGAGAAGTGAGCATATGGTTGTTTCTCTCCAGAATTTAATTAGGATCTGATAAACTTTTTACATCCAATTTCAGTGATTTAACATATAAATCAGTTCCAAACTAAAGGTTCCCCTTAAACTTGTACTGCCATCGACTGTTGAAAACGAGAAGTCAGCATATGGTTGTTTTTCTTCAGAATTTAAATAGGATCTGATAAACTTTTTACATCCATTTCAGTGATTAAACGTATGAATCAATTCCAAACTAAATGTTTCCCCTTATACATGTACTGCCATCGACTATCGAAAGAGTGAAGTCAGCATATGGTTGTTTTTGTTTTTTTCCAGAATTTAATGAGAATCCGATAAACTTTTTACATCCATTTCAGTAATTAAAGGTATAAATCAAGTCTATTAGGCCAGCTAATGGTTGCTGTGATAAATTGTAAAATTTTAAAGCATTCTATCAAAATGAAACAACAAATTTAAACCTTCCGAGGTCAGCATTTAGCTGCTTAAATAAAATAGTACTTTGGTCAGTGATCTTGAAAAGTGTTACAAATGTAATTCGCTTTGAAAATTAAGTGCTAGTTAGATGCACATTTTACTCTTCATATTGGCCTTAAATTTGTGAGCTAATATACTTAAAGACAGCACCCAGCTGCTCATAAAATTTATGTATGGTAGTTGGAATTCAGCTTTAAGTTTGGTCTTGAGAATTGTGTATCAGGTCAGCATATGTCTCTTTACAAAATTGTATCATGTCATGAGCTTAAAAGTTCAAAAATTTGTGTATCAGGTCAGCGAACAGCTGCTTATAAAAACTGTATGTTAGTTGGAGCTCAGCAGGATTTTGTTATGAATTTTGTGCATAAGTTCAGCATATGAATGTTCATAAAATATTAATTGTAAAAATGAGCTCATGTTGTTTATGAGGTAGCATATGGTCTCTTTTTTAGTCTCGTTAACCTTATGTTATTCACAGGTTTAGTAACCTTTGTTCTTTATATTTGTTACTTATTCAGATATAACTTTGTGCTTATGTGGGTTTTAATGTTTATGCTTATTTAGTCCATACGGTTACATGATATTCAGTACACAATGTTATTATCTGTTGAAGAACACATGTTTGCTACAATTAATATTGAGCAGTATATAATTTATGAAATGCCTTTCCTTGGGTGGCGCTGCATGCTTCATGCAAGCATTTTGCATGCTGTGTGGCCTCTTTGTTTACGCCACCTTCTTGTTACACAAACTTGGTAATCATTATATAACAATAGCTGGGATAAGCACTAAGTCACAATATATCATATCTAAGTTGAAACTAATCATTAATTGGCCTTATCCCAGCTATAATTTACATGATTGTATGTAATATTGTATATTTATGTGTTTTTGTTCACTTTCGTCATTTATCTGGTCAATAAATGACATTTTCACTCAACTCAAGTTCTCGTGTCTTCACTAGTTTTCAAGTAACAAGAACAAGCTACGGAAAGGCTTTTCATATTGTGAGAGTTACTTTTATTAGTGGAAAAGTTGTGGATATAAATACAATTTTATGTCTCATAAAATGATTTATATACAATCTTTTTTACATTGTTTTTGACAAATTTAGATTAAAATTCCAGTTGTTATTGATTTTTAATGTAAAAAGAGTGGGGTCGACTGGATCGGGATCGAACTCATGTTTGGATCGGGTTCGGCTTGATCGGGATCGAGTGCTCAATTAATTTGATTTTACGCAAACATGAGGTTGGAATCAATTTACCGCCACCTCCCATCCTCCTCCCATGTAATACCAATATTTGAATTTTTGTTGTATGGAAATTTTTCCTCATTGTATAACATCAAGCATTTACCAAGCCGTGTGGCCTCTTTGTTTACGCCACCTTCTTGTTACACAAACTTGGTAATCATTATATAACAATAGCTGGGATAAGCACTAAGTCACAATATATCATATCTAAGTTGAAACTAATCATTAATTGGCCTTATCCCAGCTATAATTTACATGATTGTATGTAATATTGTATATTTATGTGTTTTTGTTCACTTTCGTCATTTATCTGGTCAATAAATGACATTTTCACTCAACTCAAGTTCTCGTGTCTTCACTAGTTTTCAAGTAACAAGAACAAGCTACGGAAAGGCTTTTCATATTGTGAGAGTTACTTTTATTAGTGGAAAAGTTGTGGATATAAATTAAATTTAATATGTGTGCAATGTTCTCATTTTATATTAAAGATACTTTAAGCAAAACTTATTTAAAATTGAAATGAATATTCAAAAATTTCATTTTTGCCATGGGTATTTGAATATGATGGCAAAATGTATTCCTTTGGTATGCCAATATCTTCTGTGTTTTTTTTTTACAAATGCAGGAAACATTTTTAAAAGAATTCCTTTAAAACTAACAGAGTGCCTATGTAAAGACAAATAATATCTCCCATGGAATTATGACCGGTTGGTCATTTATCAAAGACCTTAAAAGACCCCTGCCCTACAAAAAAACCCACTATCGTTAACTACAGTTAACTCTAGTAAACTATAGTTATAACTTTGACACTTTGAAAACTTTGATTTACTATAGTTAGCACTTTGACACTTTGAAAAACTTTGACAAAAACTTTGCCACTTTGAAAAACTTTGCCACTTTGAAAAACTTTATTGAAAACTTTGAAAAACTTTATCGAAAACTTTGACACTTTGAAAACTTTATCGAAAACTTTGACACTTTGAAAAACTTTATCAAAAACTTTGACACTTTGAAAAACTTTATCGAAAACTTTGATACTTTGAAAAACTTTATCGAAAACTTGAAACTTTGAAAAACTTTATCGAAAACTTTGACACTTTGAAAAACTTTATCGAGATCTTTGACACTTTGAAAAAATTTATCAAAAACTTTGACACTTTGAAAAACTTTATCGAGATCTTTGACACTTTGAAAAACTTTATCGAAAACTTTTAACACTTTGGAAAACTTTATCGAGATCTTTGACACTTTGAAAAACTTTATCGAAAACTTTGACACTTTGAAGTGGCTAGCTCACCAGATCCTGGGCGAGGAGGCGTACGTCCAAGACTTGGCAGATAGGCTCCGGAGGAAACGGTCTTTTCAGACAGAAACAGCCTAGCCACCCAGGACTTAGTCCTGGCAATGGATTCTCTGTGTCACTACGTCGGTTAATCTACCCCGGCCGTGTACTTAATAACTGGCCTGTTACACCCTGACTTGTTGCTGCACTGGAGGACCCATGGAGTTACCCCATGTGGCTATGTTAATTCGACCCAGGGTCATCGCCATTTTGTTAAACCGCAGTGATTTTATGGGTGCTTGGAACTGCTTAAGGTTCTCGCTCGGATATTGGAGAGTCTTGAGAGGAAGAGTTGCTCCCAGACTCAGTTGTAAGTGAGTTAGTGTTACTGCCGGATTGTCTCCCGATTTCTGAGGAGAGTCTGATAACTACCACAGTGGTAGCGGAGAGTCTTCCTCCGCCTCCAGTTGTCTTTTCTCTTAAGGAGAAAGAATCCAGCAGAGGAAGGTCGCCGCCTTCCTTGTCAGTAAGTTCCCAGGTTCCTTTGTTACAAGTTATAGACAGCCTGTGGTACCCTAGGAGTATGCCTGGACGCCGAGGGCATAACTGGGAAGATCTGGTGAGTGAGAACCAGCACTAAACCAACTTACAGGTTGAGTTGTTTGGGGGTGCATTGCATACAACTATCGGGAGGAGCCTCTCTGCTGGTAATCCCCCATGGGTTATTACCCGGGGAATCACCTCAGGATCTGCGGACTTGGTATTGCAGTCAGAAGTGGCTCGCGTTGTAGGGATATTAGATGAACTTAGTCAAATTAAGTTCTATATATAAAGAGAGAGAAAATTTCTTTTTCTTTTTTTTTCTTTATTTTCGGCAACTTTTTTCAGCAATATCATGATTAATAAATCAATTATATCTGACTTTCAAAAGCATACGACAAGCGATATTGGCAAAAGATAATATAGGCTTTGACCCCATTACGTCCACTATTTTGCGTCGTCTTTTAGAATAATACAATAATTTATCATTTAAAACCTGTTGCCATTCCAGGCAAAAATAGTATTGATTTTTAATTATTTGATACACAGTGGACTCAAAAAAGTTTAAAAAGTTGTAAATTTCCGATTTTCTCATTTTTATTCGAATTTTGTTTAAGAAAACAAAAGCACAAGCTTGCCTATCTGCCAAATTTATATGCATATATCATACGTATATCGTTCACATATAGATATCAGATGCATTTTAGATATAAAAAATTGTTTTTCGAAATTTTCTCAAATTGTTCGAAATTCCGTAAGAATTAAGAAATTTGGAAAATATGTCTAAATTCTACGCCCTCTGTAGTCCTCTGTTTAAGATTAAAATCAAAATAAAAGCTAAGTTTTAGAACACTCGATAATTTTTCTGTCCCTGACTATAGAATATCAAAATTGTAACTGTGTTTTGGTTTTTACATCATATAGAATTTCTTAGGAAATGAATTCGCTAATAAACCAAAAATTCCATTCAATAAGTCTTTGTGTTGGCCAGAAAAAAAAAACAAACAGACAACAACAACATAAAAGTCTACATGTATCTATGTATGTTTTATAAATCAGGAATTAAACTTATTAAGACAAAGATTCAGTGTAAGTAAATAAAGTTCTCAATATCATTATTTATCTTAAATTAAAGTAGACGAATATTCTCAAATGTAGTATTACATAAATAATTTTTTTAAAAAGTCCTAGAGAACTAAACGTTTGAACTAAACTAAATGTTTGAAGACTTGTGGCGAAAATATTTCCCAACTCTGTGCTAATTTAAATACATTTTAAATATTCATGAGAAACCCATTCAAACTTTCTGATAGAAGGAAGATGATATAAAATATGATAGCTTTATTTCCTCTGGTTTTAGAAAACTTCATGTTTCTTTGAACGTCTGCTCGCCTTATGAAAAAAAAAATCCGAAAAAAAAGTTAAGCGAGGTTGAGACTACATCCATATTATTAAATTCGACAAGCATTTATAGATTCTGCATTTTTCAACCTTTTGTTCATATTGACACTTTTTAAAGATTTCCAGATTTATTTTTGGTTGTTGGGGGGTTGCTTACTTGGTCAGTGGGTTGTATACCGAGTAGCTGTAAAATTAAGATAAAGGCAACAAGACCGTTAACATGACCATTCACGTAACAGTCAAATCACATTTACATAAAAACGCTTAGGTATTAATAAATTGATTTTGATATATGTACAATATTCTCATTTTATTTTAACGATATTTTGAGCAAGATTAATTAAATATCATATTGCATATTTATTAATTTCATTGTTGCCATGGAAATTTGAACATGATGGCAAACTGTTTTCTTTTGGTATGCCAATATCTTCTGTGTTACTTTATAAATGCAGCAAAACATTAATGTATTTAAAAAATTCTTAAAAGCTAACAGAGAGCCTGTGTAAAGAAGAATAATGACCTTCATCGAATTCCGTAATGACCGGTTGGTCATTTTTCAATGTGCGAAAATGACCCCCACCTGTAGTAAAATTAATATATCTACCATGCATAGTACAGATGTTTTCTTTATAATCTTTCCAATGGATTCGTTGTGAAAATTGTTTGAAATGATAAAATGAAACTCTGAAAGAGATCATATTTCAACGGGGTCAATTTTTTTTATGGGAAACAAGAATAAAATAATTACCCCAGGTCTTCTTTTTGTACAAAAGATAATTTTTTTCTACGGATGGGGGGCTCCGAAATATCAGAGGTGGGACCATGTGCCATGGATGAGTTAGTATCCTCTGCTGACCGGTCACACCCACCGTGTGCTCCTTGTCATGATAAGGAAATAACAGAAAAATTCATCGACAATTCAGTGTATACATAATGGACTAACAATTGGTATGAAAAACGTCAGTCAGCATTTGACTCATTGATAAATTGTATTTGGTGAAGAGTACATTGTATCAACAATAGATTTTACGAAATGATGACTTCAAACGAGACGGCTGATATTCTTGTTTCATCAACTTGCTTGTCAATAATTTACATCGTTTTAGAAATTGTTCATACGTAGAGCAAGCTTTTGCGTATCGAATCAAGTGAGATATATATAATCCGTATTCAGGTGACGAAGGTATATTGCTGCATAAGTAAGGGAAGTTGACGATAGAAAAGATAAAGTCATGACGTTTATCATATAGCTTGGTTGTTAGATTACCATTAACGTCTTTTGCAAGTAAAATATCCAAGTATGAAACAGATGAGTCAGACTCTGTGGTATCTTTTATCTCAAGCTTACCAGGATACATGTATATCGTATCGACGTAGTAATGGAAAGAAATACGCACGCTAACTCTCGATTCCCGCCTACATTTTGGAACTATTTAATTCAAAATGAATAGCAATCTGGCCATAAAATCTTTGTTTAATACAAAGAACAGTTCAATGGTAATTGATGAATTGTCTTAATACCAGCGCTAAACAGTAAATTATCCATAATTCCGGCTCTTGAAAAAAGGGGGATGGACGATATTTTCCATTGAAATCGGAGTTTCAGACATCACCATATTTTGAAATAGTCTTGGATATGATTAAATGTTCCTTATATATTTTCTTTTGTCTTAAACAAATAAATAAAACATGAATATATCAATAAAATATTATGTTTCAGTTGTAAATCGCTTTGAAATTGGTGGAAAATAAACATTTTTATGGTTTTTTTGTCAATAAACATATGTTCCCCCCCATGTCACACAAAAAGCTTTAGTCTGAATTTGTGAAATATCATTCCATATTACCTATAAAAAGGAATTTTTGTGACATTTGGGGGAAAGATGTTTTAAAAATATTTTCCGTTTTTCGTTGATTTCTATAGTGAAAACACTAGTTTTACCAAAATTTTAGAGTTATCTCGCTTTGTTTTCCAAAATGAGCAATGTTTTATGAAAATCCATATAATTATCTATAAGAAATATTGAAAATTCATCAAATATGTTAACTTTTGAAAATTGACTTTGAGGTAGGCGGGAGAAAAATACTATCGTTCGCAGTTCTTACCATTGT